CAGTGCATATGCCTTACTGGTGGTTTGTGGGCATGGAAGACTGGATATGTTCCTTACTGCAGTCCCCAAAGAATCCCCTCTAATCATCCCGCATAACCCGTCACTGACCACCAGTAAGCTCGATCTCGTGCCGCCTATTGAGGTGCCTGTCACGTGCGTCGTGAACTGTCAAGTCGCAACTGCATAAATCTTGCAGCGCTACTGCATGCAGACGGCTGCAGCACCCTACCGCAGTCAGAAAAAATGGCTGAAACGACCGGCAAGGTCGCTGGGGTTGCGGCGTGGGTACCACAAGCCAAGGGCCAATGACAAGCCTTGCAAGAAAGCGCACATTCATCACGGAAACTCACTTGTGCTCGTCTGAAGCCTGTACTGAACGTTGACAGCATATTTGGCTACAGGCTGGGTAGGAATAGTTCTGGAGCCTTAGAAAGCACTCGCGTTTCGTTCTAGACACTCATCTCCGGAGCCAGATGCTCATGGCAGAGTCCTGGAAGACCCAATCTTTCCTGGTCTTCTTGTTGCTCTCGGCGTCATATTTCGTCATATGGGTGTCGGAGTACTCTGAAGAACACCTCAACGGGCGACTTGGGCTATGATTCGGTGCAACTTGATGGACTTTGTGGAAGTGATGACAGCTGCGCTATGGAGCCGGGTGATATCGGTGTGGCATCAGATTCCGGACTTGAAGTGCACATCGACGGTTCCACCATGAAGGCTGTCCCGCATGACTCGGAATTCTTTGACTACAAGCTGACGGTCCGAGCCGGGCGACTTGCTGGTGGTGATGGATCCCAGTCACCCCTGTAATCCCCCGTAATGCCATCCAAATCCTTAGAATGGCCCTTCCAACTAACCCATTCCTTCACTCTCCACTGACCACCAGTAAGGCACAAGAAAATTACAAGGTCCTTGACAACGTTCAACAGACCTTAAGCCTGACTGCTGGTGGCCTCGCTGCTTGCCGAGCTTTGGCTGCGTTCGAAGAAAAGTACGTTTCTGATCCTTGTTCACTGGCACCCTTCGTTTTTGGAGTTTCCTTGCTGGCATATTGCCAGGACCGGGACTCGAAGATTCTGATTCTGGCAAGACTCCGCGTTGGCCTTCCAGCGCGGGTGCGTGCTAGGTGCACATGAGCTTCTGCTTGTTGGTTTGCAGTTGATTTAGAGTTTAAGAGACCGACATAGACCTCTAGAAGAAGTTGTCACCTGTCCATGTCACGGATGCTGGCGGCATCTGGCGGGCAAAAGCTGATGTTCAAACTGGAGCAGACGGGTATGATCAGCATTACGCGCAACCACACGCTTGGTGCTCAGTGTCTCAGGAACAACTGCCCTACGCATTCCTAAGACGATTACTGTGACGTGCGGCTCGCGGTGGTTGGCAAAAAGCTTGCGCACATAATTACACCCCAAGAGCCTGGTTAGCAATTATCACGTTTGGGAAGATAGCAGGCAGCATTGGTGTCGATGATGCTGGCTTTGGGTGTCACCGTGGTGCTAGTGTGAGAAGCGGGGAAGCATGGTGGGGACTGTGGCAGTGTGGTGAGGGTACGCAACAGGAAGCAAAGGTGGGAGTTGGAAACATCAAACCGCGGGCTTGGCAGTTTGTCCAGCAGGCTGCAGGCTCCTTGCATCTCTGAAATCTGAGCATTAAGTATGCTCGCAACGCTGGCCGAAGAGACCATCCAAAACCACTGGAAAGTTGTTGTTCGTGTTGTTTTGTTCCAGTCCAATTTGAGCCTGCAGCACAGGTCAACTTGCCCGCGAGATGGAGTGGAGGACATCAATAAACTTTTCGCAGCAGAGGATGACGTATATGACGTTGCAGCGGAGCCATCGCTGGATGCCCATGGAATCCTGGTAATTCGCCTTGTGCGGGACGGGCAGATTGTGTGGGCGGCTCCGCCTCACATCGTCTATTTGAACTCGCCCGGCCAGCTGCTCTTGATGGTGAAGTTGGCTGCAACGCTTGTGCTGAGATGTGCTGAGTGTTCATGACGTGAGGCGAAGAGACGTGATTGCTCGTGTATGATGTTGGCTTGCAAACATCAGACGCGTTGGTTCCAGTGCGAACTGCTAGCTTCGACCTGCGCTTTGAGCCGTACCTTGACCACGTCGGATATCTTTGGTTCACAGGCTTGTGCCATCTGAGCATGCATTTGGGCTTGAAGAGGATGCTTGTAAAGTACCAGGGTAACATGAAAGACACATGCCAGACGCAACCTTTCGACTTCTGTAAGCTAGCGCGGCCTTGCACGTCGCCCTCATGGCCGATCGCAAGGCGGAATTGTCATCAGCTTTGACTGACCACGCTGGGAGATCATGTGGCTGTTGGAGATTTTCATGTCCTTGCAATGCTGTTGGCAACTGCCAAGCTCGCTATTCCAGCCAGGGGAACGTCCGCGGTGTGGTGGGAGCTGCAGCAGCCATTGTCCTTGTTTCGCGCATCCGGGATGCCTTTATCCCAGGCAAGATGCATCGCACGCCTAGAATCATTGCGCACCGTTGCCCAGGTCAGGCATCTGCCACGGCTGCTGCTGGACAAGGTGGGCTTTACACAGTTTTTGTAGATGGTCACCGTAGCATCTCTGGTGGTGGCTGCGCTCAGGGCTCGCCAGCTCAGAGTCTGCATGTGCTGGCATCATCTCTTGCAATTTTTGGTTGATGGCTCAGTCTCGTACTTGATTCAAACGCGTCAGACGAATTCAATAGCAGCCGCCTCCATTAGAACCCACTGACACCCAAAGAATGAGAAGTTGATGAGGCTACGAGCGTCTAGTGGCCATGATCTTGCGACGACTCGGCATGACGAGGCCGCCTCCACCACTCTTTCTGTAGCGCACTGGCAGTGTCTCGGCTGGGCTGCAGGATGCCTTCCACCTTGGCGGCAATGCTCTCCCTCTTCGCCGGCCTGCGGACTGCCAGGGCCTCCGTTTCCGTTCAACGGAACATCGTGAAAGCAATGTAGGATTGCACTTGTTTGCTTGAGCGGGGCGGGAGGTAGCAAAGCCCATCATTTGATGGCCCTAATCCCCGAACCCTTTTACTCCAGTGAAGGATGATAAGCATGGCAAGAGCATGAAGGATCCCCTCCTTTCGAGATGCAAGGGACCTCCCCCCAGTGCAAGAGAGCCGACAAAACTAGAACATCCACCGGAAACCAGGGAGTGGTGGATGCTAGATTTGCTAGATGCGTCTCGTTGATTTGGAGCATCTGTCCATCTGGCTGTTAGATTGAGACGCGTCCTGGATTTCGCCTCCGGTTGCCAGAAGACAGGAGGAAAGAAGCGGTCCACGAAGTTGAAGAAAAGAGAAGGCTGTCCCTTTTGCCTGCCCCCCAAACCAACATGGAAACCCCACAGCTGACCTACTATTACTAAGATAGCAATCCTTTGAAAACAAGCCCATTTCTGTTTGCCATTGGGGCCGCATTCGTCTTGGGCGGGTCAGGTCCCTAGCAGGTAGACAGCTTGCTTTGCACGACGGCTATCCATGCTCCTGTGCGATCAAGTGGTCTGCGACGCGTGATGCTGCCAGCATGGTTGCCTTTCACAAGAAAGCGATGCATGCAGGATTTCGTGTTGAGGTCGTGATTTCTGAACAGGCAAAATGCACATTGGTCATACTCGCGCTCAGAAAAGAAGGCTGAAACCTACCAGGGCTGAGGAATCCGCTGCTTGATCTGTAAGAGATTTTCTTCCTTTGGGTGTCTTCAAGCCTCGAAACAGACCAGTGCCGAAGATAAGTGAGCTAAGTTGACAAGAGTCTCTTAGCCTCTTCGTCAGGAGTTTTGAAAGAATTTGGAATTAGTAGCCTCTTTGGAATCACAGGGGTTCAGTGCGATTCCCACTAAATCGTAGTGGTTTCAAAGAGGCCTGACACGTGAAAGGCAGGCTTGGGTCTTAGTAATTCCAAAGCGGTTCTTGTGATTCCAAAGAGGTTCCCATGCAGAGATTGTTCCTGACCGTGACTCTTTTGTAGGCCATTGCTTCCTGTGAATCCAGCATGACAAGTGTCTGATAGCTCTTCAACATCGTCCAAAAGTAGCCCTCGACGCCATCACCAATCACAAAGATGCCGCCTCTGCCAATGCCATAATATTGTGGTCAGCATTGTGATCATGTGAGTTTGCTACCTGGATTCTGAGTATTCGTATTTGCAGTAGAATGATTTTTGCCACTACTGTGGTAAGCTGGTCAGCATAGTTTGCCCAAAATTATCATCATTTCCAGGTTCAGAAGCTCAAGGACCGCGCTACCTCGGACAGGCCAATGCTGGACTCATTTTTGAAATATGTATTATAGGGTGGCCTTCGTCCTTGTTAATGTGCAGAAAGCTCCTAATCCAGTGCAGAGCTGGTCGGTGGGGAGCAATATACACGACTGCAGATTGCACTTGAGATCCTTTGAGCATGTTCTGGCGCTTTGCAGCTGTGCAGGTTTGCAGATCTCTTGAAGCCGGGGGTGGATTTCCTTGGCAAGTGGATGGGACTGTTCCTGGTGCATCGGTTGCAAGCAAGGTTTGTCGATGCCCTGTCGGCCGCATGAGACCTGCACGGTGTTGCCATGCGTGTTAGAGCTCGCCTACTCTTTTGGACTTCCAGAATCTCCATGAGAGGCCCCTCCACTGGTCTCCTTGGACGCCTCCATCGCGCGACTGCCACCATACAGTCCCAGTCCCAGCTCTGTGAGAGACTTGAAGACTTGCTTTGGGTGATCATGGCCGCGCAGGTGGCAAGGTCTGGGCCAACACATCGGCACTGCTGGGTATCGGATGGGGTGCCACGCTAGGCTCTCAATTCCCTCCGTGCTGTCCCGTCGTTCATGCAGAAGGGAATCGATAGAACTGGATGGGCTACCGGCAGCAATTGGAGGGACGGGTTGCAGATTTGTGCATTTGAGGCACGCTGCTGCAGCGGCAGTTGCCACCTCCTTGGTACCGCAACGCCAAGCACCGCTGGGCACTCAGCTTGAAGAAGCTGCTGTGATGATAAACCCGAAGCACCATGCAGGACATCTAGCAAGCCCGCGGCTGCAACTGCAAAGCAGGAAGCCAATGGCAACAAAGAGGCGGAGGGCACGGATGTTGACTGGCAACTGAAAGCCACATTGAAAACCCACAAAAGGGCGCTGCCACCAACAAGCTCATAAATGTCAAGCCAATTTTCCAAGATGTGATTGTAGGCTGTTTGAGATGTCCCTCAATTCAGACCGCCAAGCTTGGCCAAGCGCAGGTCTCTCTTGATGAAGCTGTACGACGTTCGTGGGTTCTACTGGGCGCTGCTGGATTTCTTGGAGTGCAGATAGCCAAGCTCTTTCTGCGGGCAGGGAAAGCACGGCAGCGATTACATCATCTGCTTCAGGGCTTGTTCACCAGCTTTACCGGTGGTGTTGCATCGACCCTTTGGGTGTTCCCTACGCATTTGCGCGTGTTTTGGAGAAGGCCCATGTGAAGCTAGCCTTTTGCCAGGATGTTGTGTGAGATGAGCACGACTGTGTGCTCATTCGCGCTTTCAAAGCTTCTGCCGGATGCTGTGCAGGACCCATTGCATGCATGCCCCATTTGCAAATTTCAGCTTAGTGGCGACGTTGTCCCTGGTGCCAGCGCGTGCTCCACCCTCTGGTGATCTGTGCGGTGTCTTCAAATTTGGCGTGGAGCTGCCATGTTACTCAATGTCAGGCTCACGCTGCCACTCTGATGGTTTCTTCACGAGGTTTTGCCCCCGAACATGACCCTTAAGTTATCTTAAGTTTCTGAAGCAAACACCAATATTGCCAGATCTCGATTTGTGGGGCCGACAGCCCCCTATTTCGATGAGGGACGGGGAGTTCTCGGCTCAGACTGGCAGGGATATCCATCTACGGATGTAGTCTTCTTGGCCCTTGCAAGGTGGGAGACAAGCTTTTCCAGTGGCTTCCTGCAGCCGTTACTGGAGGGAGACTCAGATTGCTGGCGCAAGCAGCTGCAAGATTATGCTGCTTTTTCGCAGGCCTTGGGGTGCGAATGTACAACACCACCGGCTTGTGGTTAGACAACGCAGAGGATTTCAAGTGTGTGCCACGCCTGCACAGCATTGCTTTTTTCGACGGCCAAGTCCTCGTTTGCTCAAAATCGAATTGTGTCGAAGCTCATGCCATCATATGTGATTATCCATCCTTTGCAAGCGAGACTCGGCACGTCTGATGTACTTAGACTTCCCCTTGTGTGACGACTCTTCAAGCAATCTTCAAGATTCTTCAAGCAATCACTTACCTCAAGCACCTTCTCGGGGCTGGGATCTGTGTAATGGGTCCAGTGGCTGGGTCTCCGTTTTAAGGGTTGTGGCTTTTGGATCCTGGTTCTCGCAAGGCACAGAGACGCACATGACCTAAAAGCAAGATACTCATCTTCATATATTTATTTGCATAACATCCCACCTGTATCATTTGGTAACCCTGGTGAAGTTACAGCAACACGAAGACCGAACACACAAGCACGTAGCATACGGCCCAGTGGCAGAAGGCTGAGTAAAGCCCAAGTCAAATCCCGTGCGTGACCATTTCAGACTGGAGCTCATACGAAAGTGCACAAACATCATTTTGCCGACACGGTTTTCTTCAGTTTGTCCGTCAGAAATCTCGCACAGGATCAGGATCTCACAATCTCCTTACAATGGTATCCCTAGCCTTACCAAATCCGAACTCACAAATCCTAACCTACTTGCAAGCGGACAAGGACATATCACAAAACCTAGATTATTTCCAGAATAGTTACATACTGATATGAGCTTTAGTCACTTGATAGGGGTTATTCAGGGGGATACTATGAGATTAGACCAGAGCTCATATCACACTGTCAGGTGTTGGCTACCTGCTCCGCCTCGGGTTGTCTGGGACCCAGGTTATAACAAGGGGGTGTCCCAAACTCAGGTGCACTTTTTAGCGTTTTGTAGGGGGACCTGCAAGTCTATATAGGGGTTATATAGGATTTAGAGTTTAATCCCAACTTTGGGGTGCTTTTTTGGGGGGCTCCTACAATAACAATTATAGTATTGAAGCTACCACAAGCACTGGCATTGCAGCCAGACTGAAGGGAATGAGTTCAAGTTTCAACATTTTTTGTACATTGGCCGCTAAGTCCCTCGCTCAACTTATAGTAGATCATGATAGACTCTATTAGTGTGAATTATTAACCTATCTCGTCCGCATCCTCATCGTCCTCATCAGCGGCAGCACGAACAGTGTTCTATTTATGATGATCCTAAAGTCCGGTGCCTCCTTGATAACAATTCCGACTGCACCCAAGGCTTTTCTATTTTCCTGACAACCTTGGGGGCGGTGAACCCAAAATCGCCACTGACAGTGCCAGCGCCGGTGGGGCTCACACGAGGACAAGTAGAAGTCAGTCATAACCAGCACGCCTGCTCCCTGCGCAGCTCTCCCTGCCGCTGCTCCACCGCTCTGTGATGTCGGCTTTGGGCATCGAGGGCTCACAGGCCAGGGAAGCAGGTGTACAGAACAAGGTTTTGGTTGATGCAGCTTGTCTGAGTCAGCTGTCAGCGCTGCAGCATTCAATTGAAGCTGCCCAGGCCATTGGTCCAGAGTGTGACCCGAAACTGGCAGTGGCGTCCATTCTGATCACGGGGTGCGCCGCCTCCCTTTTTTTGAGTGCACGGTGCTTGAATTATATCCTCGTCACCAAGATGCATTGGGGCTTCTTTGGGCAACGCCTTGCTGGAAGCGTTCCCGGCCTTCTTCCGCTCGTACTGCCTGAATGTTTATGACATGCAGGATAAGGCCCATGAGCCCTGTGCTTTGTAAAGACACGTCCAGCAGGTCTTCACCATTGGTGCGCGGTGTTGCCATGGGGTGCTCAGCACACTCCATCGGCACTGCTGGCCTCATCTCCCTTGGGGACTGGGTTGCTGGTATAGTCTATTTCTTCAGCCTTGGTGTCTTAGGGCCTGGTACATATATCCTTCAGAGGACACAGAAGCAGCAGCCATTTCTGGAGCCTCAATGTTGGGAGCTCAGAAAGGAGCGAGGCCAGCCCCAACATTTGAGATTCCAATTCCAATCACGTGAAGTCTTGGCTTGAGCAAGCAAATGAATTCTAGTTTTCCTATTATTGCTGGTGTTACTGTTGTTGCTAGTACTATTCCTACTAGTGTACACACGCGTGAGGTGTCTGAGGCCTTAGAGCCCGCTGTGTAAGCAGTACCGGAGCAGCTGTGTTTGCAGGGCCCGTTACAGGACAGTACGTACCGGAGCCGACTGCCCAATCGGAATAGCCGAACAGGCACTTGGAAATTGGAGGATGGTACTAGTACTATTCTTAATAGTATTACTATTGTTACGACTATTACTGTTATTAGTACTCGTATTGTTTCATGAAAAGCGTTAGCAGAGCTACCTTGAGGTGCCTGGCTGGAACCATGCACACGCTGGCCGCGGGTTCAGTTTTGCAGCTGTCATCTGACCGTGCTCCTTTTGCTGGGTTGCTGTTAAGGCACTTAGATTAAGTTACTATATTGGGGAAACCCTATTATTTACTATATATACCCATTATGGTAACTTAAATCCTAAACCCTAAACCCTATGTAACCCCATTATAGTAGTTTCCGTTTTCTTTTCCATTATCCCTATATATACCCATTATGGTAACCCTAAACCCTATATAATTCCTTCAACCCTATATAGTCCCTATATACCCATTATGGTAACTTAATTTAAGTTCCTTAACAGCAACCCAGTTTGGAGACGCTTTGGTGAAGCGGCCTTAGGTGCTTCAGCTGCCTGGTGTAGTGTCAACCATCCGTTCTTTGGTGTTGTGCTTAGCATCTTCGCAGACCAACATTGAAGGCCTAGGATATCCTAGGGTTGATGGTTTTATAGGGGTTGTTATATAGGGATAATGGAANNTATAATAGGGTATATATTGGGGGTGACTGGCGAGCAACTTGCGCCTGATCTAATCTACACGGCCGTGGTGCTGTGATGCACCAGTTCTGCTTAACAGCCCGACAGTGGAAGTGCTCAGGCAGCTCTTCCGGCCCTGGCATGATTAGCCAAGAGGCAGCCGGGCTCCCAATGGTGGCGTGCATTTGTAGAAGTTTCAGTTTCTTCTCCATTTTTCCCTGTTGATTCTCCGATACCGAAACATCAAATGGACGGAAAGATGACGTCGAAGCTGCAGTGCTGCGAAGTGTTTCTTTGGAGGCAACAGAAAATTGCTATGTGGAGATACATGTTTGTGCCGTTCCTGTTCACCTGCTCATTTTGCTTCTACTGTAGGACCATCGTCTCAATGTCGGTATCATCGGCCTGTCATCGTCTTCTTTGTTGCTGCCTTTGGTCCGGTACGCTCCTTCCTCCCACCTGTGCCGCTGCATCTCTCTTCCTTCTTTTCTTGGCTTGGTTGTCGGCATAGTTTTGCTTCCTTGCATGGCAGTCCTGCTGTGCTTGGCCGCCGTTCTTTCATGTTTGTCCGCTCGGGTCAGCAGCCCTTCCTTTCTCCACTGCCTGGTTTGGGTGCCTTGGTCTTTGTAGTTTAAGTCGTTGGGCTCAAGGGTTTGCGTTGAGCCTGCTGGTACTTGCTGCCTTCGACCTTGTGTTCGGGTGACGTTTTTTTTTTTTTTTTT